TATCTGTTCCACCCTCTTGTCCCCCACCCCCAGCACTGCCCCCTTAGCAATTAACTATTGCTTTCTGATTAATCTTTCTATGTGTATGTTTATTATTTCCCCTTCTTTCTTGCATCTTACAAAGTAATACGGTCTTTTGCACTTTGCTTTTTCTTAATTTAACAACTTCACCTGGAAATTGCTCCTTATCAGTTAACAGACCTCTTTCTTCCCTGTTCAGTCTGCTGCACAGCACTCTGTCATGTTGAAGTGGAAGAAGCTGCCAAACATAACTTGGAATGAATAATTACTGTAGCACATCTGTCCGTGAACTGTAAAATACGTTGTTTTTGTGCTCTGTGTAGGCTGTTGCAAAGACCCCGTCTGCGTTAACCTGTCCCCACTTTAAAAAATACTGGGTGGCCTTTCCCCTCAAGTGAGACAGCCTGTTCCCGGAGAGATAAGAAAACAGCCTTGAGATTGTTTATGTAAGCCCCCACCTTAAAGCCATAAAAAGTCCCTCACTGTTTTGACAGCTACTTGAACTCTTTACTCTGTAAAAGGTACCTAAAGGAAAAATTATCTGAACTCAGGGTCAGTCTATAAGGACTCTTTCTTGGGACTGGCCATTGCCTGGCAATAAACTTCTTTCTTATTTTACCCAACTCTCCTGGTCTCTGTAAGATCATTTCGACTCAAAGATTTGCCACAACAATATACTGTAGGTGTCCAACCAATCTCCCATCCCAGTGATATAGGGGAAGAGATGCAACTCCCAAACCTAGTAGATATCCAAAACGCGACTTTGTATTCTCTGAAATCAAAGAATGGATGCTAGGAACAACAGGGGTTAAGAGTAGAAAAATTTATTGGGAGAAAGAAAGCTTCTGCCTAAGAGAGACAGAAGGGGGACTGGAAAGTGGGTTGCTCGCCCACCCCCCGTTTCAAAGATGTTTTATACAGCAAAGCCATGTGGTGAGGCGGGTACAAAGTGGGACAGAACTATAAGACCCAATGGAAATTTACAAGGTGGGCATGAGGTGGGACAAAACCATGACCAATCAATAAGATTACAAGTACAGTCACCCAGGTAATACTGATTAAATGGGGATCCAATGGGAAGACAAGTCACAAGGAATTTCCCATTTAAAATATCAATCACTAAAAAATAAATAAATAAATAAATAAATAAATAAATAAAATATCAATCACTGCTATCCCTGGGGAAAGTAGTGCCTCTTCTTTTTTATAATGCTAATCAGTGAACGCCTCAGTTGTTCTCCAGGTTGGCTCCTGTCTGTGTTGGCTCCCGGAGGGCTGGTGCCTTGAGGGCAGCCCCGTCTAACTGCCTACGGGATCTCTAATTAACTTACCTATCTATGATATATGGCTTGTGTCTAGATGTCCTCATTTAATCAGTATTACCTGGGTGACTGTACTTGTAATCTTACTGGTTGGTCATAGTTTTGTCCCACCTCATGCCCACCTTGTAAATTTCCATTGGGTCTTATAGTTTTGTCCCACTTTGTACCCGCCTCACCACATGGCTTTGCCGTATAAAACTTCTTTGAAACATAGGGTGGGCAGGCAACTCATTTTCCAGTCTCCCTTCTGTCCCTCTTAGACAGAAGCTATTTTTCTCTCAATAAATTTTTTCTACTCTTAACCTCTGTTGTTCCTAGCAGTCATTCTTCGATTTTAGAGAACACGAACTCGTGCTTCAGATGCCTAGCAGGTTTGGGAGTTACATCTACTCCCCTATATCAATCAAGAACACTAGGCCTGGGTCTGGGATTTAGATCAGTGGTTTTGCCACCTGCTGCGCAAGCACAAGGACCCGAGTTTGATCCCCGGTACCAAAAAAAAAAAAAAAAACGAACACTAGGCCTTCCTCTTCCTATCTCACCCAAGTTTGTCCATGGACCCCCACTGCATAAACTTTAAAAAATTTAATGCATTCCACTTCCTACAATTTATATTTAATTTATTTGTTTTTTCCATAATTTAGATTTATATGTAGATTTACACATAAATCTAGTGTATGTATGTGGAGATAAAATTATGCCTTTATAATTACTGCCACGTTGCTTTAAAGAAGAGCTCATGAAGCATTCCCATTAGTCTGATCTATATTTTAAGAATCATGGAATGGAATAGAGGCGTGGCATGAGCTGAAGATGCCTGCCAAGCATACATGTAACACAGCCCTCAGAGCGAAGTACAAATACTTTTCCTTCCAATGCAAAGAAAATATAAAACCATAACAGGCTGGAGATTTTCATGTATTCCATTTGCTAGAAAACATGCTGATCCACTGGAAATCAATGGTAAATTTGCCACCTCTTCCCAAATAAGAAGGAGGCGGTGTGCCTTTCTTTTGAAGTGAGAAGGGCAGATATTGGAAGGAAGGATGGGTCGGGGGCTCGCTCTATAGTGGTAGAGCACTTTAGAGAAGCCTTGAGCATCTGCCAGTGATTTTCTTAGTGATGTTTCTGTCTGCCATCCCAGAAAAAGGCTTCCTTTTTTGTGACAATCTAAGCATGAAGATGCTGTTTTTGTCTTTCTTGATCAGTGTTAGTCACACAAGAAATCAAGTTGGTGATGTTTAAAATTTTCTTACAGTAAAAGAAAAAAAGTAAATTTTCAACAGTCGTGTTGCCATCAACCCCTCTCAACACATCCCTGCTCTCTTCAGCCACATTTATCCCATTGTTCTCGCCACTTTCTGGAGCAGTTCTGAAGTCCTCTTTCATGAGCGCCTTTAGTTGTACCATCCTGACCGCCTCAATATCCTGAAGTAATCCAGTTTACCTTTAATGCTCATTTTGATTTTAGGGAAAAGCCAGCAGTTACACAGTGCCAGATCTGGTGTCTAAGGCAGATGAGGACACAGTGCCATGTTTCTGAGTTCACCTTTTCACTGGGTGACCCTCGCCAGCAGCAGTCACCATATTTTTCATCAAACCTCTAAAGACACGAAAGACTTCCAGAACTGCTTGAGAAAGTGACAAGAATGATAGAATAAGTGTGTTCAAAGTGAGGCAGAATATTTAGAGGGGGATTAATGGCCGTGTGTCTTTTAATGTGTTCGGGTCACTACCATACTTACAGGTCCCATACTTAACTAAGCCGTAGCTCCCCTCTGAGCATCCTAGGGAAGGCAAGTCCCACGGCCCAGAGCCGTCAGGAGGGCCGCAGGGGTCTGACACTCCTTCCTTGCTTGTCAGCTATCCTGGGTGTGGAAGGCCTAAGGAGCAACTCAGATATTTAGAGCCAGACGCACCTGGCACGGAGTTCTACCCTTGGCTCTGTGCAGCAAGGGGGGACAAGTGGAGTCACTAGAGTTTAAATCCCAAAGCTAGCTTTTGTGAACTGGACTGGCATGGGTGAGTTTCTTAACATCTCTCTGCTCCCACGTCCATATGAGTTCCACAGTAATTCCTACATCACAGGTTTATTTCAACAATTTGTTTTTATTTTACCATTCAATTTACTATCGCATGTATTTCTAGTTAGGCTTCTTCCAAGACATTCATAAAATAGGAGACGGGATATTTATTTTTAACTCTCACCTTTTGGAGAGGGTCAGGATGGTAGAAGAGTGCAGGAGATGTCACCGCCCCAGCCAGGCACCTGCTCTGCCCCTTTTCCTGCTCTCTGCGGGCCAAGGCCTTTCGCATTGCCCACTTGGCTGAGGAGAGGGGCCATCTGATGAGGTCACTGAATGAGTGTTTGGCTTGTGGCTGTCCCAGAGCGGTCAGACCAGCAGTGCAGGAGCAGCGGCACGGTGCCACCTCCCTGGCCCCCACCCTGGCCCCACTGTGCCCCACAGAGGAGAAGCCACCTCTCAAAGTGGAGCCCAAAGGAAAGCTCCAGATGCACCTCAGTATCCACCAGGGGTTGGAGAGCAGGTCTCTGCATCTGCGTCCTGGAGTGTGGTCGGCAGGAGGAGGTGACCAGCAAGTCCCCGGCCTGCTCCAAGCCCACAAGGAGACCGGCCCAATGCACCCCTTTCTTGGGATGAGGAAAGGTTCTGGGGTCCGACAGGCCGAGCTCACAGATTAAGCTGGCAGGGGCTCATGGGGCTGGGCTGTTGCCCCATCGAGGTAAAGAGAAAAACAGCACAGAGGAGGAGGAGCCCAACAAGAGCAGACCCTGGGGCTCCCACTGGTCTTCCAGGAAAAGCTGCCTGGAGGTCAAACCCCCAGAGCTCCTGAAGAACCCAATGAGGAGCAAGGAGCGAGGAACTGAGAAGGGCGCACCCCGAAGGACCAAAGACAGGGAACCCTTTCTAGGGCCAAATGAAAGCTGAGATTTAGGGAGAATCTGGTCCTTGTCCCCAAGACACCAGCACCCAGGAGGGGGAGTCACTGCATCTCCAGTCAGTGACTGCTGGTCCTGTGCCGGCCTCGGCCTCGAGGGTGTGGGTCGGGGCCCCAGGGGACACCCAGCGCTTTCCCTTTGGAACTGAGGACATTCAGAGGATTTAGAGGAAGGGAGCAACTGGCTCTCCACAGCGACACCGGGGCCCTACCCGTGCTCTGAAGAGGAAAGTCACTACTTCTGGTTCTGGTGAACGCCCTCGCTCCCGACTCCTTGGGCTTTGTGGATTTGTACCGATGGAAAACAAACGGGATGGAGACCTGAGAGGATCCCGGCCCACGAAGCCCTGAGGAGGGGCAGAGGTTGCCGGGAGACCGCTGCTGCCCGCACAGGGGGCGGCAGCAGGGTTCCGGGAAGAGGAACTGGCTCTCCCTGAGGAGGAAGGCAAGGCCTGGCTGGGAAGGCCCCGAGGGTTCTGGCCCCGGCCTCTCTCCCAGGTGGTGCGGGGCCTGCTGACCCCACTGGGCGCTGTTCCTCCCACTCCGAGAGCCCCAGAGAGAGAGTGGCCACCTCTGCTGGTGGCCACAGTGACCCCAGGCTCCTCCAACTCCATGGGGGTCACTGATCCGCCAAAGGCAAAAGGTCGAGGGGCCATGCTGCCAAACACTGGGCCCCTGGGTCCCCTCAGGTGGCTCTGGGTGGCAACCTGAAGGCCAGGGCCTGGACTCTCTCAGTCAAAGGCAGAGCCTAGAGGGCTGCTGGCAAGGACCTGCGAGGCAAAGGCGGAGAGCACCCCGCCCCCGAGGGCCGCCTGCGCGGAAATGCTGAGGGCTGGTCCAGCCCGGGGGCTGGGGCACCACTGCTCAGTTCCCAGAAAGGAGAGGGCCACCGAAGCTTGAGGCAAGAGCTGCCTGGGGGACACCTTGTCTCTGCCCATCTGTGGCCCCAAATGCAGGCTGGGGAGCGTCACCTGGGGAAACAGTCAGGCTCGAGGGGCTGAGGGGCAGTGTAGGCAGGTGGGAGTGCAAAAGGGCTGCGGGGGACACAGGGCTCCCCGTGCTTCTAAATCGCCAACACCCCGGACAGGGACGACCTGGACAGCACTAGGAACCTGGCTGCCAACAGTGGCTCTGGGCACAGCGGGCCTGGAAGGAGGCTGCTGGGGTGAGAAAACGAAGCCGGGGTCTGGGGAGAAGCCGGGTGTGGCAGCAACCCAGGGACACTCTACTGGAATCCCGAGGCGGCCGGGCCGCAGGGTCTCGGCTTGTGCCGGCTGGAGAGGTGGACGGGATCCGGCCAGGGGCGACCAGAGCTGCGGCAAGGGCCTTCGGGCGCGAGGCGGCAGCTGCGGCAGGCGTAGGGTAGGGCTAAGGGCGGCAGGCCGCCGGGCCGGGCCTGAGCGCGGGCGTCAAGACGCCTGCTGCTGGGCACACGGAGAACCTGAGCCTGCAGTCTGACTGCCAGATCGGGCCCCCAAAACTGGCCTTACCAGGAGGCAGCAGAAGTTGCAGGGAGAGGTGCGGGTGCAGAAAGGTGGGGCGCTGGGCTAGCCCGCTACCCCAGACCCCAAACGGAGTGCTTTGAGAGGAGGGGGCAGCAACAGATGGGTCTGGGGGCGGGGCAGACCTGGCAACCCGCGGGCCGGGAGGGAGCAGCTGCGGGCCTGCAGCCCGGAGAGTGGGCGGGAGGGGCCTCTGACCGTGCGTTCCCCGGGGCATGGGCGAGCCCGAAGACTTGTTGTCCAGGCTGCCCAGCTGAGGATCTGAGCAGCGGGTGCGGTTCCTGGGAGAGGACGGGCGATGCATGGGGAGGGCCCGGTGCCAGGCCAGGCCTCGGGGGTGGAGTCTGCGGAGGCCTCAGCCTCCTCCTGCCCGGCTTTCCTCCCCGAGGTCCAGCCTTCATCAAAGACGGGGGAGCCGCGCTCGGGAGGTGGGGTCTCAGGCGCCCAGCACTGGGCGGCAGAGGCGGGGCCTCCTCACTGTGCGGCCCAGGGAGCCCAGCTGTTCCCGAGGACGCGCTGCGCGCTACCGGCGGACTCTCAGACCGGGGCAGACGGCCTATTTCTCTCTTTCTCAGCGGCCACTGTGGGATCTCGGGTGAAAACCTGGGGAGGCCTCTCCTGGCGGGCGCCGGGCAGGGCCGGGTGGAGCTGTAGGAGCTGTAGATCGCGTTCCTCTTGGCGCCGAGGGGGCTTCGGGGTTGAGCGCGGGCCGCCGGCGCCGAGGGGCCCTGGTAGGGGCCCGGGCCTGGGCACGAAGGCGAGGGCGCCCCGCTTCGCCAGGGGCGTGAAGGCCGACGGACGGGCAGCGGTGCGCGCGCCGTTCCGGTCCGAGTCATCGGGAACGTGCTGGGCGAGCAGCTTGGGCTCCGAGGGCCCCGCGCAGAGGATCACAGGCGCCGATGGCTGGGGCGCGGGCCCACTGCGCTCAGGGGGGCAGATCCTGACTGTCACGGGGCTGGGCACGGTCCGCGGGTGGCGCAGGAACCAGATGGTCCGCCGCAGGAAGCCGGCCGAGGGCAGCGCGCGCGCGGCGGAGTCGCGGCCCTGGCACAGGCGGAGGCGCAGCTTGGCCTCGCTGGCCGCCGCGGCCCGAGAAGAAGGACCTGGAGCAGGACCTGGGCCCGGGCGCGGCCGTGGGGCGGCGTGGGCGCAGAGGACCTGCTGGGCGCGCAGCACCTGCTGGACGCGGCCCACCCGGTACAGGGGCGGGGAGCGCGCTCCCGGGCCCTCCGGGGTGTCACAGTGACCAGGAGGGGACCGCGGCGAGGCCGGCGGCCGGCCCAGGACACCGCCCATGTCGCGGCGAGAGGTTCTGCCGCTGGGCTCCCAGCGTCCTCGGAACCAGCTGGGAGAGGGTTGGACCCGGGCGCGAGGGTCGGAAGGGGGGGGACTCGGGGCGCGAGACAGGGCGGTCCCGGCGCTCAGGCCCCAGGCTCTTCCTCCACCCCATCCCCCTCGCCTTCGCCTTCCCCGGAGGTGGTCAAAAGGACATCCGCTCTGCGCACCTGGCTGAACCCTTCCTCTGCGGGACAGTCCGTGCCCTGAGCCATTTCATGATCCCTGTTCTGTTACGAGACAGAGGACACAAGCCACCGACTGGAGAAAATGTTCGCAAGACACGTGTTGAAAATTCACAATAAGTAAAAAAACTAAAATTAATGAGCAAAGATCTGAACGGAGATATCCTACCAGGATCCCTAGATGGAAAGCAGTATGCAATACATGTTCATTAGAAATCGCAAATGCAAACAGCAACTGACCGGAAAGCTAGACCACAGGTGGATACATAAACTAACTGTGGTACATCCGTGCAGCTCGATGCTACTTATCACTAAAAGGAAATGTGCTATCAAACCATGAGAAGACGGGGGATCCTTTAATCCATAAGTGAACAAAAGTTAGAAAACGTAAATGAAACGACCAAATTCCTATAAATGTCTACTGAAACTGACTCAAGAGGAAATAGACAATCTGAATAGGCAGAGATGAATTAGTAGTTAAAAAGCTACCTGCAACAGAAATACAACCTAGGTGGCTTCACTGTTGAATTCCACCAAACATTCAAAGAACTATCAATTAACTTACATCAATTCCACGAGGCCAATACCAGGATTCTTTCTTTTCCAGTACCAGGGATCAAACTTGGGACCTTGCGCTTGTGAGGCAGGCACAGTGCCACTGAGCTAACTCCCCTGCCACCCAGAAGTCTTACACCAAAGCCAGCACAAGGAAAGAAAACTACAGACGAATGTCTCTTGTGAACGTGGATCCCAAACCCTATCAAACTGCATCTAACAACATGTGAAAAGAAGTAGGGCCCGGGGATTTAGCTCAGTGCTTTCACTACCTGCTGCGCAAGCACAAGGACCTGAGTTCGATCCCCAGTACCAAAAAAAAAATAAATAAATAAAAAATCACATGATTTTATCAATAGCTGAAGAAAAGCATTTGACAAAATCCAACATTCTTTCATGATAAAAACTCTCCACAAACTAGAAGTGGAAGGGAATTTCTTTAACCCTAATAAAGCACTCATGCACAGAGTTAGAGGCCACATCACACTTAATGAAAGTCTATACACTTTCCTCCTAACATGAGGAGTGATGCAGGAGATCCACCCTTGAGCGCCAGTCAGCACTGTCCTGGGGCTTTGAGTAAATCAGCAAGAGAGCGAAATAAAAGGCATCTGGACTGGAGAGGAGAGAGTAAAACTGCTGCCTGTATTTGCAGATGATATGATCTTCTGTATAGAACACCCCAAATGACCCATTCAAACTCTTACAACTACTAAACTAGTTCATCAAGGTTGCAGGACACAAGATCAAAACACAAAATTCAATTGTACTTGTACTTCTATGTACTTAAAATAAACAAGCCAAAAATGAAAATCAGAACACAGTTCCATTTATGACAGCATCAAAACCAATAAAAATACTTAGGAATGTCTTTATGAAAGAAATGCAAAACTTACACTCTGAAAAACTACAAATACTGATGAGGGGAATTAAAGAAAATCATAATAAATAGAATATTTTATGTTCACAAATCAGAGTAGTTAATTTCAAGCAGGCAATCCACCCCCTCTGCTCTACAGGCCCAGTGCAGCCCCTATCAGAATCACAGCCGGCTTCTTTGTAGAAATTAAAAGCTGAATCTAAAGTTTACATGAAATTGCATGAAACCACTGAAAAAGGAGAACGAAGTGGGAGAACTCATAGTTCCTGGCTTCAAAACATACCGAGAAGCAAGTTAAAACAACACTGTACTGGTGTTAGAATAAACATAGATGGATGGAATGTAATTGAGAGGACCCAGACCTCTCCAAAGGTCTAAGGCCAACTGTGTTTGCCAAGAGTTTCAAGACCATTCAACAGGAAGAGAGTCATCTTTTCAGCAGTGTGTTGGGCTCACATGAAAAAATGAAGTTTGACGCTTACATCACAGAGGTAAAAAGATTAAGCCAAAGGCTAATCTAAGACTAAAACTGCAAATCTCCCAGAAGAGCAGACAGGGCTAAATCATTATTTAGGGTTCTTAGATATGACACCTAAAGTTTGAGCAACAAAAGGAAAAAACAGATAAACTGGACTTCATCAAACGGAAAAACTTTGGTGCCTCAAAGGACACTATCAAGACAGTGAAAAGACAATGTATGGAGATCATACTTTCAAATTTTATATCTGAAAAAGAATTTGTGTCTAAAATATATAAATATTTACAAATCCCCCGAATGCTCACATCTGGGAAGAGAAGGATTTAGGTGCAAAACACACAACATCACCTGCCACACTCCGTGGACGTGTTCTTCATTATGGGACTGCTGGGTTTCAAACAGAGACAGAACATCTTGATCATATGCCGGACCGTTATTATGGGATTATTAGCTGTCCTGAGGTCAAAACAGACCAAATCCACCATAGGAGTCATGGTCAAGGTATCACACAGTCCCGAGGTGGACAGTGGTGTCTTCGGGTTGATCCTTTGGGTGCATGTTGCCAACATCCGGGGAGGACCATGCCACGTGTCTGGCAAATGCGGAGGAATGAGATACACAGTGCTTACTGACATGCGTGAGTGTGGATCTCGCTGCTGTAGATCCGCAGCAGGATGCCTCTAGCTGTTGGCAGACACAGGGCCCAGCAGTGAGGAACTTCCACAATCTGTAACAGATGCAGCAACTGTCTCAGGAGGTTGATTCCATGGTTACAGCTTAACAATAGCCCACCTGCACTACATGGTGTACTGTCGAGACACCAGGCGGCTGAGGTGGAAAGGCAGCCATAGAACGTGCTACTAGAAACTCAAAGCTTTTATGGAACTCATCCAACAGGCTTCCTGCAGTGGAGATGAATATAGATCATTTAAGGCTGACTGCACAAATGGTGTAGGGCAGGGATGGCAAACCTTTCAGAGCTTTCAATAACAACAAACAGCTGCTGTGGCACATGTGCCATAGGGTTGCCAGCACTGCTGTGCAGCTCTGAAGCTAAAGGAAGTGGAACACAGGAACTGTCAGTTCAGCTGTTTAACAATGGGACCAAAGGGAAGCTCAACCATTTGTGAGGCTGACTTTGTGAAAAGTCATCAAAAACCTCCAGAGGGAATAGAAATGAAGTCTAATAAAAGATCCTGTTCCTACCATGGAGATGGGGACAGAATTGTGCATTACTACTGGGATGCAGATGGTCAGTTTCATCTCATAGATGGAGACAAGATACCAACATGAATTAGCAGTTTCTTTAAAGAACGCCTGTGGAGACTGGAGAAAATTCAAATATTGGTATTATATAAACTGCATATGCAAATGGACAGTACCTTGAAGAACTTATGAGGGTGTCTGTTTATTAAAACTGGTGTAAGACATTTGCAGCACAAGCTCAACTGTCTGACACTGGAGTTTATTGAGAAGCAAGTGGGCATGGCACAGCTTTGTTTAGTAAAGCTGTTGCAGTGATGATAAAACGACTGGCAAAGAAATTAGAAGATAACAGAGGAAAAGCTGCTAAACGCTGGAAAATATCACTGGCGGGTTTAAACTGGCAGCTGGTGCTGACACTGCTGGCAAGCTGGGCTCCAGGGCATCCTGGCTCTGAAGGGCCTGGCTGTGCGGCAGTACAAGGCTCTCCCCTGCAAACGGGAGAGTTCTCAGCACCACAGGTTTCTGCAGATAATCTCTATGTTCTGAAACTGGATTTTTAAACAACTTTTACAAAACTGAAACGGGAATAGTGGCACCAAGACATTCATAACCATGTTTACATGCCCCTTATTGAATTGTGTCTAGATCTGACTTTCCTAAACACTGCTTGAAACATTTTTTAGAGATAGGTAGACTTTGTATGCTGCTAACACGTTCCTGCTGGCTTGAACCCCTGGCGTCCGTGCATGACCGACCTATTGACCAGCCTGTAGCACCCCATAGGACTGTCCCCTGCGACCCAATAGACAGCCATACATGTACCGCTGGTGGTTCACAGCTGCCTGGCAGTGAGACATGAATTATGGCCCCTATGTGAATGCACGTGTTAAAGAAGTTTGCCTCTAACTTCAACCTCACCTATATAAAATATTGGGGCCTAAGAGTATGATTCAGTCAGTGATTTTACAGCGTATCCGAGGAACAAGTCATTCAGAAGGCTGGAGAATTTAGTCTTTCTACCAAAACACACCAGTCCTCTTTCGCTGTAAGAGCAGTGGATAGAAAACTGTCCGGGCCACTTGGGTCTTTCAGGAATTTTTATCTGGGCAACTTTTTCTCTTTGTAACATACAGCTGTGAGATAACATGAATATATAAAAATGACGAATGTCCGTGTGACTCGGGCGCAATCCAGCGTCAGTCCTTCCCTCAGGCCACCCTCCCCCTCTGTCTGGGGACAGTGTCATCTCAGTACGTGGCGTGACCGCGCAGTCACTCGGTGTCTGGAGGCTGCGTCCTTCAGAAGCCACCTCTGCAGTGGGGAAGCCCCCCACCCCCCGCCCGTCCCTCAGCCACTGAGCAGGAGCCCAGCTGTGAGGGTCCTCGGCCGGGGCCTAAGAAGCACGGCCAGGCCCTGCCCACGTCCTCTTCCCAGCCCGGCTGCGGGAGACCCCGCGGTGGCTCTGAGGCTCGCTGCCCTCTTCCTGGCACCCTGCCCGGCCTAGGAGTGAGGTGGGCAGCGCTGGAAGGCGGCGTGGGTCCCAGGCCAGGCCCTGCCCGGCGGAAGAGTCACTGCCCGCCCGTCCCGCGCCCCGTGGAGCCGGCCCGGGGTGGGAGCAGGTGGGCGCGCAGGGCCTGCCTTGGGGGTCCCACAGGAG